CAGTTAAGAGTGAAGAGCGGACAGTGAACAGTGAACAGTGAAGAGTGAAGAGTGAACAGTGAAGAGTGAAGAGTGAAGAGGGAACAGTGAACAGTGAACAATGAAGAGTGAACAGTGAACAATGAAGAGTGAACAGTGAACAGCGAACAGTGAACAGTGAAGAGCGAACAGTGAACAGTGAACAGAGAAGAGTGAACAGTGAACAGCGAACAGTGAAGAGTGAAGAGTGAAGAGGGAACAGTGAACAGTGAACAGTGAAGAGTGAACAGTAAACAGTGAAGAGTGAACAGCGAACAGTGAACAGTGAAGAGCGAACAGTGAACAGTGAAGAGTGAAGAGTGAACAGTGAACAGTGAATAGTGAACAGTGAACAGTGACCAGTGAAGAGTGAACAGTGAACAATGAAGAGTGAACAGTGAACAATGAAGAGTGAACAGTGAACAGTGACCAGTGAAGAGTGAACAGTGAACAGTGAACAGCGAACAGTGAAGAGTGAAGAGTGAACAGTGAACAATGAAGAGTGAACAGTGAACAATGAAGAGTGAACAGTGAACAGTGAAGAGCGAACAGTGAACAGTGAACAGACACACACAGTCTTACTGCTGTGGTCTAAAGATGGCATAGAAGACACAGTTCTGCCACTGCTGCTGGGGGTCACACAGAAGATAGGAGCCCTCAATGACATTCGACCACTGGTTCTTCTGCACCGGACAGTCAATTCTGGCCTTCAAGAATGACGTCCACTTCTTCTGCAAAACCCGATTACCCCCTTGGTCTCCCTGTGAGCACAGGAGGACACAACCGTTATCGTTCGTGTTCTGTTTTGACTGCAGAACAGAACTGTACTGTGATCTTCATCACCTTGCAGACACGGGCCACGCGGGAGGCCAGGAGATTGCTGTTGCATTTACACTCCACAGCTTCCTCACTGAAGAACAGGTAGATCTTGTCATCGTCTCCATTTGGGCTGTTCTGACTCTCAGGCACAAAAGACATGGAGACAAAAGTGGGATCTGGTGGACAATTAGAAACAAAGTCCAGAGATGACAAAGACCACCTGGCTGTGACTCTCCAGGTGGTAGAAGAACAGGAAATGTTGGCATCAATACTGTGTATACAGATAACTGCACCAAATTATTTACAAGAAAACATTGATCAAAGAATCACCTAGACCAGACGTGGGCAAACTTGTTGACTCGCGGGCCACAATGGGTCCTAAAATTATACAGGGGCCAGGTCAGAGCGTTCCTATGAACTAAGATAAATGACCTGTAAGTTGGTCAGTAAAGGCTAAAATGCTAAAATGTTTTCAGCCTCGTCTATGCCACCTATTGGGGGAAATGCTGGCATTGCAGGGGAAATATGGTGAAAATAGAAATGAATAACATAATTTGGAAACGTTTGGTGGGCCAGATTAAATAGCCAAATGGGTTGCATCCGGCCCCCGAGCCGTAGTTTGCCCATGCCTGACTAAGGGCTTGTCCCTTATTGGGGTCATCACGACAGGTGGACTCCCCTTCTCACCTTACCATTAAACAACCTGTTCTCTGTGTTGCAGATCCCAGACCTGCAAAAGCTGGCCTGTTTGCCGTGAAAGTCTTTAAAGGTGGCGGAGTAGAGCTTGTCATCTGGTGAAACGGCACAAAGAGACATTAAATATACAACCTGTGGAGGCTTGAATCAACTCTGTCGTCTGTGAAGGTGGCCTGGTTCACACGTACTCACCGACTAAGATGGAGGCCGATCGCTTGTCTGGATCAATCGGACCCTTTCTTGTGCCGTCCTCCACCTTCTGCTCCAGAGTCAGTTTTCCATCGACATAAGTCTGCACACAGAGACACACTGCTAAATGCTCACATACTAACAGTCCCAGTCTGACAATGTCTTGGACTGATCTGAGTACAGTCATGAACGGCCCGGGTCACTAAGACCACCAGGGCAGCAGTCAGGTGGCCTCACCATGTTGACACACTTTGGTCTGAAGGCATAGGTTCCACACACGTATATCCTGTGGGCATCGATCCTGTGCAGGACCATGATGTAGTTCTTACACAGCACCTGTGAACACATTGAGGTTGACTGTGACCCAGAGCATCTCCTCAGAGACAGAAGCACTTCCTCACAGCTCAGGGACCAACCTCAGCTTTCGTAACCAGACAATTTCTCACCGGATCCCCCATGGCTTCCCATCTCACCTGGGGTGAAGAGAGAGAGACAGAGTTAGGGGAGACAACAGCTGCTCAAACCATCTTCTCTCTACGGAGCACTGGTCGGAGGAAGGCGGCGGC